GGTGTGGATGGCTTCTATCTGCCGGGATTAGCTCCGGTGAACTTCTGCGAAGACGACAAACCGACCGAAACGTGTAAGTCTTCGGTGAAACTCTTCGTGAATCGGTTGGACAGCGAAGAGTCGGTGATTCCGTACGAGTACTCGCACTTCGACTTCTGTCAGCCGCCGGACGTGTCGGACAGTCCGGTCGAGAACTTGGGTCAAGTGGTGTTCGGCGAACGGATCCGTCCCTCGCCTTACAATATATCGTTCTTACGTCAGGAGGAATGCAAACCTCTGTGCCATAAGTCCTACGATTTGGGCTCCAAGAAGGACGTGGATCTGCTCAACGGACTCATGAAAGGCATGCTTAAGAACTATCAGCACCACTGGATTGTGGACAATATGCCGGTCACGTGGTGTTACCCCGTGGAGGGCGAACAGCAGTACTGTTCGGTCGGCTTTCCCGTCGGGTGTTATGTGGACAGTCAGGGGACGGCCAAAGACGCGTGCGTTATGAACGTGTTGTACAACAAAGCGGACACTTTCTATGTGTTCAATCACGTGGACATTACCATCACTTACCGCAGCGGTGAGAACGAGGCCTGGGGTGTGGGCTTTGGCGATAAGGGCGGCCGTATTATAGCCGTCAAAGTAGTGCCCAGAAGTATCAAACACACGAAAATGCCGTCTCTAAAGGCCTCGGAATGCGGACCCAATTCACCGCCGATGGAGATATCGGGCAAACTGTCGAAAACGGACAAAATGGATGTGTATTACTCGTATTCAATATACTTCACGCGCGACTATACCGTGAAGTGGTCGTCGCGTTGGGACTACATCTTGGAGTCGATGCCGCACACGAACATCCAGTGGTTCTCTATACTCAACTCACTGGTCATTGTCCTCTTCCTCACAGGAATGGTGGCAATGATTTTGTTGCGAACGCTTCACAAAGACATCGCCCGATACAACCAAATGGACAGCGAAGACGACGCGCAGGAAGAGTTTGGCTGGAAGTTAGTCCACGGAGACGTCTTCAGACCACCGCATCGATCGATGCTTCTGTCGGTGTTCATCGGGAGTGGAGTGCAAGTGCTTTGCATGACTGTCATCACACTGTTCTTCGCGTGTCTGGGATTCCTATCGCCGGCCAATCGCGGGGCACTCATGACGTGCGCTCTCGTGCTGTTCACGTGTTTGGGAACCCCTGCCGGCTATGTGTCGGCGCGGATATACAAAGCGTTTGGCGGCTATAAGTGGAAACTGAATGTCCTCATGACGTCACTCTTCTGCCCGGGAATCGTATTCTCGCTGTTCTTCGTAATGAATCTGTTGTTGTGGGCGAAGGGGAGTTCGGCCGCCATTCCCTTCACAACTCTGATCGCATTACTGGCGCTTTGGTTTGGAGTCTCACTTCCCCTCACTTTCGTCGGCGCCTACTTTGGCTTCAAGAAGCGAACGATTGAACACCCGGTGCGCACCAATCAGATCCCACGACAAATACCCGACCAATCGGTTTACACGCAACCCATGCCTGGGATCATAATGGGAGGCATTTTGCCCTTTGGATGTATTTTCATTCAGCATAAGAAGTATGACTTGTCGTAAACCAGGTTAGTTTACATAATATACAAGCCGAAGAACAAAAACCAGAAATGTTAAGACCACTAGTGAACGTCACTCTGGTGACAAAACGAGACAATAAAGGTAGAATGCGCCGAAGATTATCACTGGTGGTAAGTGTTGGCCCACTGTTTGCCTATTTGTTGATTGTATGGATTGAATGCATAACCGATGGATGTGTTTGTGTTTCAGGTGGCGATCATATCTGACGAGTGGTTTCACGTCATTCTATCTGTTCGTGTATTGTATTCACTACTTTATGACGAAACTGACGATCACTGGGACGGTATCGACGCTCCTATACTTCGGTTATACGCTAATAATGGTGTTCCTCTTCTTTCTACTGACCGGAACCGTTGGCTTCTTTGCCTGCTTTTGGTTCGTCAGAAAGATCATGTCACAACAGTTTCAACTAACTCTGTTCACTACTGTTGTTCACTAGCTAATTCACTAACAATGTGTTCATATCGATATCTCTGTTCATTATCTGTGATATAAAATGACCTTAGCTACCTAAGTAAAATTAATTTTCATTTGTTTTTAATTTACGTGTAATTAATATTTTGTTAAAACAAAGCGTCGGTTCCGTAATAATAATGTCAACACAAACGTTGACTTTATTCCCCAAATTCATGATAAGAGCAAAATGTTATGTAATTTATAGGAATTGTTTTGTAATACAATTTGAATAACTTATGATTTGTGCAATTATTTCGATACAAATGACACACAAATTGTAAGGAATATCGATAAATATATTTATGTATACATTAATAAATTGAGTGTCATTTGTGTTATAATTTAAATTTAGCTATGATTTTATAATTTCTGGTCAATTATTAATATAATATTTCATTCAATATAATTATTTTTAATGCCTTATAAACCCTTTAATTATATTCTCTTTTGGTCTTTAAGTTTAATAAAAACCATTTTAAAAATTGTTTGCTTTTTAAGATGACAATCAATATTGGATTTCATGTATAAGATATGTGTCCCAAAAGCCAACACTTAACCAATTCTATGAATATTCATATAAATTGTTTTAATTGATTGATATGTAAATAATATTGAAATAAAATGATTGCATATATTCTTCAATCATTTGTATGGCAAAGAAGAAGAAGTGGAGGAATGGTGTGGACCGGGAGGGGGAGGCTGTGGTGAAGGGATGTGTGTATAGGGATAGGGAAGTAGTGATGAGTGGTTGGGAGAGATGATGAGGCGATGGGTGCGATAGAGAGTAGGTGTGCAGTCGTGTAGAGTATCGTAGCATTAATTATCGTGACATAAGGACTGCCTTTGGATCGAGTGATTGTGTTGTGTGCGAGAGAGAGGGGGAGAGAGAGAGGGAGTGAGAGAGTGTATGGGAGTGTATGGGAGCACAAGATGGCCATCGCATACACTGTACGCCAGTCATAGACACCAGTCATGCACTCATTCACTCATTAACAGCACTAACGCTAACACATCACAGCTTTGTCTCTAGAGTGTATGGGAGTGTATGGGAGCACAAGATGGCCATCGCATACACTGTACGCCAGTCATAGACACCAGTCATGCACTCATTCACTCATTAACAGCACTAACGCTAACACATCACAGCTTTGTCTCCAATTAAACCAATTGTTTAGTCATTTAATCATTCAATTGATTGTATTATAGGTTTGCATCGATTGACAATCCATTGCCAATCCATTCATTCACATCCGATACTCACGAAACAAATCAATTGCAATGTTTTAATTGATTATATCTTTGATTATAATAATCAATAAATATTAATAATTAATGAGTGATTGAATGGTCAGTGCATTGATCATCAGTGTTGAGGACAACGGCAAAGACCAGTCATTGACCCCAAGTGTGTCCACAATAGCCCTCTATTGATAGTTTGATCAACACATCCGACCATTGAGTTGTGATTTTTGATTACAATTAAGTAATCAATCGATTGAATGATGTTTACGGAAGAGACGCCTAAAGACCTGTCCGCCAAACCGTACGTCAAATGAGTTCATGAGATAATTGTCTCAATTGTTTGATACTTATGTCAAACTTATTTTCACAACAATTGAACACTATTTTCATGTCTTGTTTTAATTTGTTTCCATTAGTAATACCGAAGAAACCGAAGATAAGTCTACCGAAGAGAAAAGCGGCGAAAGTACTCCCGAAACGAGTGGTAATAATGGAAGCGAAGACACCATTGATTTAAGTGTTAAGAAGAAAACGGAACCGAAAGATGAACCGAAAGATGAACCGAAAGATGAACCGAAAGATGAACCGAAAGTTGAACCAGAAGTTGACCCAAAAGACGACCCGAAAGATGATCCGAAAGTAGAACTGAAAGTAGAACCAAAAGCGGATGATTCAGGTGTGGAACCGATGGAAGTCACGCTCGATCTGTCAATGCCTTCCTCTGCAGTCGACTCTTCAACTGAGAAATCAAATGCTCAAAACCAAGATGTGGTCAGCGATAGGAGTGAAAGCACTTCACCGGTTGAACGCGCGGCGGCCGATACAGACACTTCTCATATCACAAATGGTAATCACGTGAACGGATACACGGCTTCGGACGACTCGGTGTCGATGAATGTGGACGAAGAGGTAGAACTTCCGCTATCACCTCAAGTGAACCGATTAAGTGCTGATGAGTTAAGACTAAAGCAGAGGAAAATGCGTCGATTGAAGCAGGAGTTGAGGAACGAAGAGATGAAATTAGTTTTGCTTAAGAAGTTAAGACAGAGTCAACTCATGAAAGAGAATATTGTAACAAATATTGTGACACAACCACCGGTCGCCCCATCGGCGCCGCCGACGCCACAGCCGCCGGTCAGCCATCCAGTCGTTAAAATGATGACAAATAATCACATGTCTTCGCGTAACGGTTCCGTTGAACGTTCACATTTGCCGGCACCGACTCAGCCCAACCACACCGGACACGGACACAGCCGTTCATCGGGTCATAACAGCAAAGGCCACTCCGTTCTCAACCCTCCCTATCACCGCAATTCACACTCAAGTCTATCTCACGCGCCGTTTCCGCCGCCATTAGGTTTAGGGCAGAGGAACAACAGTTCCAATCATATGCCGACTGCAGCCCATTCACAGCCTCACTCACAGCCCCATTCAAGACCCGGTCCATTGAGTTCTTTGAATCGAACTCCAGTTACGACACCACCGAATGTAGTGCTCGGATATCCCGTACAAGACCTGAGGGCTCAACAAAATCACTCTTCAAATTCACTCTTGAGTTCTCATCAATCGGTAAGTCTTAGCATTTGATTGCATGTGTTTTGCATTGAATCTGACTTTCGTATAACTCATTGACAGTTTGGCGGTACGGGTTTGGCCACCGGATCTCCCGGTCCTATGAGTCACAGTTCGGAAGTGACTCAAACACCCGCTCAAAGACAAGCGGCCGCTAAATTGGCGCTAAGGAAACAGTTGGAGAAGACTTTACTACAGATTCCTCCGCCCAAACCTCCGCCGCCGGAAATGCATTTCATACCCAACGCTAATAATCAGGAATTTGTTTATTACTTGGGTTTGGAAACAGTTGTGGACTTCTTGACCGACAGTCCCAATCAGAACAAAGCGCCGCCCGAGCCGTTTGAATGCGTTCAGTGCGGCACTGACTTCACACCCGTCTGGAAATGGCAGGACAGGATCGACACCAACAGAGACAGACCCGCCGTTATTTGCGAGACTTGTGTCACCAGTAATATCAAGAAAGCTCTGAAGGCTGAGCACACGAATCGACTCAAAACCGCGTTCGTCAAGGCTTTACAACAGGAACAAGAGATCGAACAGAGGATCGCTTCGGGAGCCACTAGTCCTCCGTTGCCGGCGATGTCTCCGCCCCAACACAACACGCAGAACAATAACAACCACAACAACAGCTACAATGCTATGAATGCAATGAATCACTCGGTCGGCAGATCATCACCTTTGGTGACATCGAGTCAATCCCATTTACCGCAGGCACCGCCCGCCCACTCATCGATGCCACGACTGACCGGCTCTGCGGCCAACGCGGCTGCGGCGGCAGCAGCTGTGGCCAGTTCTGCCGCACTGTTGCAGCAAATGCCTAAACTGTCGGCCGCACATCAGTCACTATTCGCAGCACAGGCTCAACAATTGCATCAATTGGCGCAGAGTTTGCCTCAACCACAACCGGCACATATGTTGCCATTCGGGCCACTATTGGCCGCTCAGGCCTACTCTTACAGTATGTTAGGCAAGTCGGGAGTGCCGTCCACTGACCTCCACCGCCAGTACTTATTAGATATGATTCCTCCCCGTTCTCTACCCCAGGGATCCATTAACTGGAAGACTTGATTATAATTATTTCTAAACGCATTTCTATAAAAATTTTAAATATAATTTTATAGTTTTGGAATTGGATTTGCTTTTCAGTCAAACTGTTTAATTCATTTGCAAAAACGGTTTTTTGTCAAAATTTTTTAACTCATTTGTTTATATTATGATGTTTTTGGGCATAAATCGGGAAAATAAGTCCGAAAAAGCAATTATATAAATGCCGTCAAACTTTGATTATTTTGAGCACTTAATTATTGATATGATTTTATTAATGTATTTATTGATATAAAAATAGTCTGAAAATTATTTGAATTGAAACGATATAATGGTTTGGGAGAAATGGTTGGTCTGTATCCGCGATTAAAGGGATCTTTGAAATCAAAATATTGTAGAATAAAGAGTAATCTAATTGTAAAAAATATTTAGTATTAGTAATCATTTCTATTATTAATACAATCAGAGAAACGATAATACAATTATTTAACGCATTTGTCTGTATTAAACACAATGAGAGTATGAATTAAACCATTCATTTCTGAATTAACCATTCATTTGACGATTTAATGGCGAATTAATTGCTTTAAAAACTTTGAATTGTAATTATTTTCGTTTAAATGACTGTATTATTAATGATTGGTATTTATATTCGCTGTTTATATGAGAGAAACAAATAAAACACTTTTTCACTTCCATTTAAAATTAAATGTTATTTGAAAATAAAAATATTTAATTAATTCTTATGTAACGAATGGTTTTATTTTAAGCACTTCCACAACATTGGTCTCGATGTCGAACCAACTGGTGATGTGAAGCGAGTCTATTGTGAAGTAATACAATCGGTCCACACATTTGTTGCGTCTGTAGACCGAACGGGGATCAGCTCTCAACAGATTCTTAATGGCATTCTTCGAGTCTTCAAAGCCTTCCAAATGTTTGAGACAATATTTGCACACATTTTCGTCGTCTCTCTTATGAAAGTTCTTTAATTGTTGTAAACTTTTTGTCGTGAATTCAACGCTCACTTCGGAGACAACACTTCCATCGATCCAATCATTGCCACCTCTCGTCTCTTCGGCGGTGTCTTCGGTCTCAGGTTGTGGTGAATCGTTCGTTAAATCTGTATTTTTTGTGTTTTGATCGCAATCTGCGGCCGATTCCGGGAAATCGTATTGTTTTATATACGGCTTAATGTCTATAATCGGCGTTCCGTCCAATATATCAATACCCGAGACGTAAACCAAACCGTCTTTGAGTTCACAAATGAAACAATAGTTAACTAAAGAACTCATATAATAAAGTAATAACAAAGTAATGGCAAACCTCTGACTTCATCGAGTTTGACGAGTGACAGACCGATTGGGTTCGGTCTGTGCGGCGATCGCGAGGCAAACACTCCGCACGACTGGCCGTCGAGACGCGGCGGACGTACTTTTGAGTGACATTTTTTGTTTGTATTCAAATGGAAATTATATAAAATCCTAAAAACGGAGAGAAAATGTCAATTAAATTTTGAACAAATTATAAAATGATTGCAAATGTGGACCAGATATGGGAGAAGTGTTGTAATCCTTGGAGACAATGATCCGGATTATTGAAAACACATTTATTTAAATCAATAAAGCCTTTGCTTTGCGGACAAATGGATGCCTGTCTTGGAGTGCCGTTCTTGCGGTTGAATATGGATCTCATGTAACCGATCGGCTGAAGACATTCGTCCAGTTTTGTCGGTTTAACGGATTCACAGCTCATGTCTTATTTCAGTCAATTATAGCAACAATTAGTGATTAAATACTGTTTACTCTATTATTCAACACATTGTCAACAATACAACACTCTGTCAAACATGTGTTGTGTAATACATATCACGTGTTTTCGTGACTTACAGTAATGAAAAGTTTGAGTTAGTGTTGTCCAAAGGTCAAAAAGTCAAAAAACCAATTGAGCTTTGACCCTCAGGGTCATAAAAAATTTTGACTTTGACTTTAACCTGGGTTAACCCGGGTTAACCTTTTGACCATATTACGTAATTGTTGTCATAACAACAATAGTAATAATTAGGTATAATATTAATAATTAATTATTTCTTTCGATACAATTGAATTAACTATATTATATTTATATTTAATCGTTTATAATTTAAGTACAATTGAATTGACTAGATTATATTTAATTTTATTTGTTTATAATTTTTGTACATTTATTATATATGAACAATTTATCAAAATTTAATCAATCTAATCTCTTAATCAGTGCATATGCACCCAATAAAGTAGGTCATGGTCAAGTGGTTAACCGTTTTTAACCGGCTGTTGTCATTATTTGGGTTATTTTTAAAGTATTTTGCAAAGATTTTAGGGTATTTTTTTACTTTTCGAGTTAAAAAGTTAACTCGGGTTAACCCGGGTCAAAAACAAATTTGACTTTTAACCCAACGAGTCAAAAAACATTTTGACTTTGACCCGGGTTAACCTGAGTCAAAAGTTAACCCTGAGTCAATTTGGACTACTCTAGTTTGAGTCTCACAGATAGTGTTGCCAGTGGACAGTCCACTATAATACCATTAAATTATCTTTAAACAATGATTTAATATCATTTTATTTAAAATAATGGACAAACATATTTTCTTAAATTTTATATTAATTGATTAAGTGACAGTAAAATATATAAACAGTAAAAATTTTATTGTGACATTAAAAATATCCACTATTTTTACAATAATTGAATTAATATTATATTGTAGAAGTATTGGACAATTTTAACTAATTTGTATAAGATATCACGTATAGAATTATGTCCAATATTTGTTCATTATTTTTAAATCGTTTTAGAGTAAATGTCCACTATTGAAAATTTTCGAGTAGGCAACACTACTTACAGATAGGGCTGCAACTGTTCCTAATAGGAACTAGGAACATCCTACACAAATTAAACCTAGTTATCACATTAATACACTGGTCACAGTGATTAGCGACAAACTCAATGCAATTATCACCCAATTGGATTAGTCCTAATTCTAATGTTGGTACAAATATAAATATGACGTCAAAATTTGTATAACTATAAGCTTTTTATAACTAAAAGCCGATTATAACCTTAATCAAAAGTTATTTATATACTTATAAACATATTTATTATAAATTTATGACAATTAATATCATTATTAGTTTAAAATACACAATAAATTATTTTTAGACTCAAAGAGTATTAAATTGTTTGTTATGTTCAAAGAGTTTGTAATTTATTCAAAAAATACTCTTAATTTTTAAAAGATTTAAATACTAAATGAACCAAAAAATACTATTTTTAATATATTTCCAAATATTTTAAACATCGACTTAATTGTAAAGACTGTGACCATTATTTGAGTCCAATTTGTAAATACATTTTAACCCAATAAAAAAGTATCATGAACATTTTCGTGTATAGATATTTATGTCATTGATATTACATGTAGAACATCATTTAATAGTAATTGTTTTACCGAATAAAATAAGGTAAATTATTGCATTAATTTAAACAGTAGATTTTAAACATACAAATGGTTTGAATAAAAATTTTCAGTAGTAAGTAACTGTAATATTTAGATTATTTAAATTTTAATTATTTAAGTAACATATAAAAAATATTTGGACACCAATTTGTCCAATGTTTTCAATACTACACTAACGTAATATCCAATGAATCTCTAATAATAGTGATATTAATCATATTAACTGTTACTGATTTTTTGTTTTAAACATTTTAAATTATTATTACATTCAATATAATAATTGATTAATTATAGATTGAAAAGATTACATAAAATATTCACAAATTTATCAAATATAAAAGTTTATTATACAATGAAGAAGTTTTGAAGTTATTTCAGGAAATGAGTTAATTTTTTAAATAAATGTTTGTAAGAGAAGTGTTTTTATGTAAGAAATTATTGAAAGATTTCTTCTCATATGTTGGACAGTATATCCGATATACAGTACTATATTGTTAGTTAAATGTTATATAATTTTATAATCCCACTAAATATTACAAATACATTATATATTTTATTATACATTAAGTATTTAGATTTTTATACAAAATGTTGAATAAACGAAATTACATGATCATTAAAATCTTGTATAGGATATGATTACAAATGACATAGTATTGCATAATAGCATTACTTGCTATAATCAACAATAGTATTGGTTTTAGTATTTTAGGTATGAATGAATGAATGAATGATAAGAATCAATAGAATCATTAGAAAACCGATTGTTGAGCCCATAATTAGCCGACAATTTTTGTGTCAAAAATGACAAACAAAATAATTTGGAAAAGCATTTCGTATTATAGATGACATTCACGGGGACTGAAGGCTCCAAAGATGTGATGGATTCCCACTTTTGAGTGCATCGGTGAACATAGGGCTGAGCCCTCGGCTCACTCACAAAGTGAAGCCAAGTATAACATTATAAATGCTATGAAGTCTGAAAACCACCACTAAATCGAGTCAAGACTTTGGAAGAAACAAGTTTTGAGATCTTTTCAAAACACAATTCATATTCGGTTACACTTTTCAGCTTTTGGTTGCAAAAAACTATAGTCTTCTTTAAGCACAAAAATTATTGTTTTTCTTAAAGTTTAATCATTTCTTCCAAATATATCTCTTATGAGAAATTGTTTCAAATATGAAACCAATCATAACATTATAGGGTAAGTCGTTATCATTGTTTAAAACTTGGATTTTGATGATCTTTTTATATAAATATTATAAAACTATGATTTATTTTATTGTTAAATATTTATGTGTTTATTACTGTTGACTAAAATTAATATTTGTTTAAATTGATTCATATTTATTTAAAATATCTTATACTATTTATTAAAAATTTATATATTTAAACTCTACTTCAATAATATAATGCAACGTAAATTATTTCTTGCATTCGTATAATATAATTTGTAAATAATATTATTAGTGAATAACTTTATATAAAAACTATTAAATATAGACTTTTATATATTTGAACGAAAAGGTCTTTTCTTTCACACAGAAATCATTTATAATTAACAAAAAGTTATATGAATTTTAAATCATCAGAACTAAAGTGTCGGCACTTAATTATGTGACCATTTGTATGCCTACCCATAGGGCAGTTGTTTCTCAATATTTACAAACAATTGTTTCTCCCATGAAATTATTTTTAAGTAAATTACATTATATTCAAGTCATTGCTATAATTCTTACTTTTCTGTAAAGTCTAAAAAATTCAAGAAAGATTCAAATCTAGAAAATTATTTAAATTTCCAAAAAAGTGTATTAATTAAAGTTTTATTACTTTACATCTGATATAAATTCAATAATTATAATCAATTCACACATCATATTATATTATATTTTAATTAATACTTTCAAAAAATTAAACAAAAAGTTTTTAATTAAATTTTTGATTATATCATTAATTATTTATAACATTAAATTAAATTCCTAATTATGTTATTTTTAATCACATGGATATGTATACAAAATAGTTACATGAATTCTTAATATAATCATTCTTATAATTAAATAACTTATGTTTAAGTAAAACTTTTAATATTTATAATATTTGTTAATTTGTTTAATAGCAAATCGTTTAATGCATAACAATATTGTATCTAAACTTTACAATGTAAAAGTGTGCTTAACTTTTACGGCATATAAATTACATAATTTAACAAATATTTAGTCAAATTTGGTCAAAAATATTACCCTATTTTATGGCATATAATTGACAAGAATTATAAACTAAAAAACTGTTCAAAAACGGTTGGTTTGTAGCACTTCTGTAACCACCAGACAGTATGATATGCCTTAAGTGCAAAAGGTTTTCAGCATTTAAAATGTATATGATTTTGAACAACAAAATTACGAAGTCTAGTGCTATAATTGTAAAGAACAAAAACAATGAATGTAACACAAAGTATAGCACAAATTATTGAATGTCATATCAATTAAAATTGTTCGGTTCGTGAGCTTTATATCTCGGAATTTGAATAAATAATTTACTCGAAAACACTATTCCCTTAAAGCAGAGACTAAAATGAATTTCAATTCCCAACCAAAAAAAAAAGCAAAACAATTACTGCAAATGTTATTTAACTATTTCTTTGGCACATATTTCATAAATAATAATTACTGTTATTTAGTTATATTTCATATTTCTTTATACATATTGTATTATTAATAGAATCCAATCTATTATAACAATAAAGTGCATGAAAATACATTACATTAACATTACATAACATTGTAATGATTACAACATATGTGTGAATTTGCTTATTATCCGATTGAGAATACTATCACACGATTTGAGAGGGTTTTTGATTTTCGGCATAAAGTGTTTTATGAAAAGTATATTTTAAGTGTCAATATTTTATGAAGACTTACATACAGTATAACTTATTCTATAAATAATTGCATTCAATTACTCCGTAAAAAGTGTTATAACTGTTATATTCAACTCTTTCTGATACAATGGTCACAAAAATATACTAAATTATTTACACATGGAATGAAAGCTTAATAAATATTGACATTGGTAAAGTTTCTTTTAAGTGTTTACCTTCTATTTTTATTTTTAAATTAAACGTTAATTTAATCATTAATAGGTAATAAGTGAAATTATTAAGTGAAATAGTTAACATACATTTCATTATGTTTTAATTAGTTAAGTAAACTTGGGCTAAAGTTGGGCTATATTATATTAATAGTTATAAAAATTTGATTGGTAAATTCAATGCCCATGTGTCAATCAAATCTAGTACTGTAGTTTTATATCAAATATGAATTCATGCAAATCTACTCAATCTGTCTCTCAATTCCTGAAATAAGGAAATCTCATTAAAATATATTTTATTATTACCAATACGTTAAGAGTTGGGGCGGGGGTTGAGGTTGGGTTGGAAGCGAATTATAGCATATTTCTGTATTGTTTTTTCTTAAAAAAAAATAAGTCAAGTTTTTGCATTTATTTAAATTATCACTTGATTTACTTAATAATGAAATTTTTATTCAAACTGTTTATAGAAATTATTTGTAAAAAGTCAGAGATAATTGAACATTTACTTTTATGAACATTTGGATCATTATCTCGAGGCTTGTTTGGGTTGTTTGTCTCCTCTCTATAGTAAATGAGTTATATTTTGCTTAAAGTATTTTAATTTATTCATGAGATTCAATGAGGGAATTATTTTGATTGAATTTTTGTACATTTTTATATAAAAAACAAATGTTATTTTGAATTAATAAATATTAAACTAATGATAACCCGAAAGGTTTACTATGAAAATCAGTATAAATGATATGAGATGTAAACACATAATGAGGGAGTTGTTGGCCATATATTACACTCCTTCACATCAATTCTATAATTCACTCAAATTTTTATTTTTATGGACAATGGCTTGAAGTGGAACAGCATAGGAGTGCCGCTGACCTCTTCCTTATATACAGTGTATATTATATAACGTTATATAATATTTTTATTATTACTACTTTAGCAAAGTTAGCGCTTCATTGCATAACTTTAGTCTATATTATCGGCTAAGACTCACTCAATATCCTCTAAACCTTTATTAAAGTCAGTTATCAATAAAATCTTATTTTTATAATAAATACATATTAATTACATTACATTCGTATGTAATCTTAACCTCTAATTAGAGTTTCATCTCTTTCTTAATATTTTTATTCAATAACAAGTTTTTCCAATTTTTATATACATTTCAATAAAAATATAAATTTAGTTTTGTATGTATTTTATAGATTTCTATCATATTTTGATGTTTTTTAATAAATGTCTAAAGAAATCAACATATAAATGAAAATTATATAACTTACAATACAATACACAGTATATAAATACATATTCGTACTTTTAATATATACTTTTATACAATATTTATATAATATTTGAAAATAATATTTATATTTACATTTTTAGATAATATGTTACCACAAGAAGACAGCGAATTGGCAAAAATG